TATTTCTGAAATGTGGGAGGATGTAGAGGTAACAGGACGTTGTCAGGAGTCCGAAAATAAAACACCTCCTACTCTTAATAACTGTGATATATTTAAATAAACCGTATATACTAGTAGGGCGTGCGTGGGTGTCCGTGACAATCCTCGTCAAAGTCTTCGCTGTAACTGACTTTTCGCTGTTTGGCCGCAAGGCTCGTTATTCGATGGCCAGACCCGCTTGGCCTTGCCATTCCTTCGCCGTTTTCCCTTTTTCCAGTAAAGAACAAAACGGGCTACGTCATGGGCACAGCGGGTTTTCCCGTACCCTGTTCTTTCCAAGCTAAAAAGGCCCGTTAGCCTCCTACAGAAAGTTAATTTTCTTTTACCTTCTAGTATACAGGGTGAGGCACGAACTAGTCTACACGATTTTTCAGTCCCTTTCGATAGCCTGATATAAAAATGTTTCCTATCGAAGTTAATCAGTATTTAACCAATAAGAAATTACAGTTGCTTAAATTTAAAAACAAATTGATTTTCGATAAAAAAAATTAAAGCTACTTATATTTTTAAATGGAACTAGGTATTTTTTACGTAGAGGCGAATTCAACGACCTCATACACTATGATCGCCATAATATTTAAAATTATTCGATGATACATAATACTAAGACCTCGCATATGGACTAAACAAATGAACTTATGCAAATGAAATAACTTCGATAGGAACCATTTGTTTGTCAGACTATCGCGTCTGAAAAATCGTGCCTAACCCTGTATAAGTACCTTCGTCTGGTCGTTTCAACCATCTGCTGGGTGTCACAAAACTAGATTCACAGGACCATGAACGTTTAAAAACTCAGTACCGTTTCGTACTCTTGGAATTGTTGGATTATGGGACGTACGATTTTAAATGAAACAATAATAATTAATGGTAGAATTTCACTTTTATTAAAGACGTAAAGATATATCTTAGAGTTCCGTTCTCCAAGAGATCTGTTACTGAACTGTGCACTTCACCCGCAGAAGAAAGGCGAGCTTTTTTTCTTTGTATAATAAATACCATGAGTTCGTAGAACCCATCACCAAAACTGAAAGCGAAACTCCAGACATATACAATCGTCACTGGAGATGATTTTTGTAACAACGTGAGACAGTTAAGAAATCCAACACGTACCAAATTCCATTTGAATTTCTTAACGTATCCTTGCGTTGTTTCCCCAATAACGTTGAGGAAAGAAAGCAGAAAAAATTGCTAAAAAATCGTGTCGTGGAGTTTCAGTGAGAATCGCGACACCCAGTGGGTCGATGAAGAGCCGTCCGGATGGGCTGGCTGGTTTTCCGAGAAGACAATAGCGGATAAAGGCGAGCGGGCATTGGAACCGACGCCGGTTGACCGCGCGATCCGTCGCCTTTAACAGCGGTGCAGATAACAGAAGCTGGTACCGCTAGCGTGGAGATGTGGGCGCCTCCATTACCCAACTGTTCAACCTGTTCAACCCGCAATCAGACTCACGCGAGACCAAGCGAGCCCGACGACGACTTTAAACTAGACCGGACCAACGACGGGAGGCTATGTTTAATGGGCATCGTTGCCCGCGATTTCTATCCTCGTCTTTCTTTCTCGCGTTTGTTTCTCTGGTCGTTCGTCCTTCTGCGACGGTGTGCACGGTCCTCCGCGGTTAACAGTTAGCCGGAACACGGAAGCTGGGCTTTTACGGTTCAATGGAACGCGATCCTAGGCGAGCCGTATCGATCGGGGATCGACTGTCGATTCGACGAAATCGAGGCCTGCCGTCGGAGGCCGGTGCGTTCACGGCTCTGTGTTTTGCCAGATCGTTCAAACACCTGATTCTCCTTATTTCGTTAATTAATGAGATCTTTAGACGATGGACGACCGCCGTTGTCCTTTCACGAAGTAGCAATTAGACGAGCTTTACGCTAGAATCGTGAACGATCAAGCTAAGGCTTCTTTTGCTTTGAATTTTTAGCTTCGATATCAAGGTATATGTGTACACACTATTTATTTATTAACGAGAATAAACTCTTTAGTACAAAAGATGTAATATGTAAGGAATTATAAACATTATCCCTTATAAATTTTTTACTATACGTTGCAAGGATAATTTTAGACTTTCTAATGATTGTTCAGTTATATCAGTTTTACTGCGTACAAAATTTGTATGACTATTTCTAAATTCTATTTACACAATTCTGAGATCTAAACACTGTGCGGTAACTTTCAAAATAAAATAAGTATATCAATATAAGTGATCAAAGCAAAGAATATTTAAATATCTTTTATTTAATCTTATTCGAGCATACACTTAAACGAAATTTTATTTTTATTTGGATACAAGTAACATGTTACAGTGCTAACCAAAGTTCGAATTTATTCCTTCGTTGGTCCTCTGGCGGGATTACGGTTTAGGAAACTTGAAACGGAGGATTTCAACCGGGCCGGGGGGACCAATAGAAACCGTGATTCATCGCGTCGTAATTTGGGGCCCGATTTTCTGTGTGGTCGAATTTCCACGGGCGCGTAGGGAAAGGAAAACTTATCGTCGCCGATGTCGGGAGCTCGAACGACCGGTTGCACGAATCCCGCGGCCCGTCGAACGGGGCTGAAACTCATTTCGAAAATTCCTGAGGGAGAGGTATGTAATTATGTAGGAATAATGGACACCCTAGGCGGGCCGAGTATGTTTGGTCCAGCTGGCTGCGGGCAATCCGCTGAAACACCGGCGGATTTATTGTCCAGGTTGACGGCGCAGCGACGTATAAATTATGATTTCTTTTTCTCCGTGCAAACGTCTCCCAGATGCTCGTAACCGATACGAACCTGAGAACTCGTCGATCTTCTCGCGAATCCCGAACTTTCGATCAGTTTCGTAAAATAGAGCTCGAGGTAGTTCGTTTCAAAGATGGACACGATTCTCATCCGGAGAAATATTTCCTATATTCGGTACATTGACCGTAAAAAGACACTATCGCAGAAAAAAATTAAAAGAATAACGCACGTCATACGTGTTCTGGTATCGTATATCGTTTCGTGCGTGTCATACTTCATTGAACTTTCGTTGCACGCTAAAAGGATATCTCCGTCGTTCTTCTATTATTTTTTATCGAAATTTACGCAGCCTGACAGAAAAGTCGGTATTTTCGCGAGAAAATGATCTCGAAGGAACGAGGAATGCAGGAATACATTTGATTGGGTAATACGTGGGTGGCCTGGGATCCCCAGAGCAAAAAAAGAATTTTCTGTCGGGTAAGCCGGGTAAAATAAAAGCTGTGGCGAGAGGGGTTCGTATATTTGCACCCAGAATCGTCGAAGAAGACGGGTTGGGATGGCCAGGATCTCGGTGGCGGGAGATCCTCCAGGCTCGAAAGGCTTTTGTCGAATTTTCTGTAGCCTGGAGAAGACTGGTCGACCTCTCGTCGGCTGGTTTTTGTTCTTCCTTTTCCCGCAGACATCCTGTTGTCGTATTGCTCCCGTCCATTTGTGGCTCGATCTGCCGGGACGGGTAAGAAACGGTCGCGAGGATAAGGGAAACCTCGGGTGGGACGAGGTGTTAGCCAACCGCAATTATCAGTAATGATAGCTCCCCCTTCTCTGTTTCTAGCAGCGACAGTTATTCACCGCCATATTGATGACAGGTCGCGCACGAACGAATGTACGCGACCCCCTCGTGGATCGTCGAATCGTTTCGATTACGCGTCCTGGAACGCAAAATTCCGCCCGTGTTCGCTCTGGAATACGTTTCAGAGTTGTTTGAACCTCCAACGGTGTTCCACGTAGTTTTTTGAAAGTCACTCTCATCGATAATAATTTTTAAAATGACTCGTCAGCCAACAAATCGGCATTAAAAATCGACGTATTGTATAGCGCGTCTGTGGGGGGATTAAACTTTGACTCGTTGTAAAGAGAAATTTCTAGTCTCCTGTAGTCCAGTAACTGTGCTAAAATTTATTACACGGACTGTACCGATCTACCAAACGCTTATGTAAGACATGTGTATATGCAAGTCCGTGGGGCGAACATAGTGGCTAATTTTAACGACCCAGGCTGGCAAATCTATAAAAGGGATATTTATAGGTTCCTTTGGTATAGTGTTACAGATTTTCAAATTTACGTTGCTTTAGTGGGCGGAAAATAACGATCGATATTCCCATTTTACTCGTATAAACATCAATTTGCATCTGATACCTTTTGAGAAAATAACACTGGCAGAATGGTTCACAATGAAAATGCTTCTGTCCACCAAAATCTATTTCAATTCGTTACTTCCACGTTTTCGAAGCGAGAACCGTTTCTAATGTTTTGAAAGTTCGAAAAATTTTGAGAACACGTCGGAGCAACGATAAAACTTTTTTCTAACCGGGTGCACGGTTATAATGTGTGCGATTAGATACAACTGAGGAAACAAACTTTATCTAAGCACAATAAACTCGTTAAATATCGTGCACGGTATTTGTACAGAACTCGTACAATAAATTACGCTGGCGTGAACGACGCGCGAAATCGACTCGAAAATTAAAAATATACGATTCGTAACGTACCAAGTTATAAATAGCAATTACAGAAAAAAGTTTGCGCATAAGAGGCTTCGCGGAAGATTATATTTTGATTTTCTTGTAGGTTATCTCTGTTAGCGTCTACACTTCTAAACATTATCAGTACCATGATTTATTTTGTAGCAACCTTGCTAGCTTACTTTTATCTACATTACGAATTCTCGTTTACGAATTTTTATCGTTTTATCGACGCGGATTTTTGCGTTGGTAAATTTTTAAAAGTGAACTTTCTCGAAAGCACGGTCTCTGCTTAATCTTTCGCTTCGAATTACTATTTTAACAATTTCTAATCACTGTTTGAGATTTTAAAAAGAGTCTCTGATACTGATTTCTGGCGAATAATTTTATTTCGAAGCAAAACAAGATTTACATTTGAACGCGGTTCCATGCAACCTTGACAGTAACTACGAATATTAATACAAAAAGCGTGAGGGGCATCGTGTCGCATTATTTGCGGTCATTGCTTAATAATCCGTGGTTGTACGCACGTAGACTTTCCCAGAAGGCATCGTTACTTTGTCCACACCACCTGGGAAGAGCTTAGGCAGTTCCTCGTCTTTTACAGTCGGTAGGATCATCACTTTCTCGCCAGGCTATAACAACAAACAAAGTAGATTCAGTGCTCGAGTCGTTTCGAACCTCTTTCTAGAATGACTTTCGATAGAATTCCAGTAGTCAATGTGTCACAAAATTGATTTCAAAATATCCACCGGGGTATTAAAGGGTTAATCGAGAATTAAAACAATAATAGATCTAAAGTTTTCTTACCACCCAGTTAGCAGGGGTCGCAATTTCTGGCTTTCTGTCGACCAGCTGTAGCGAGTCGATGATACGGAGTATCTCACTGTAAAGTGATAATGATATTGTTAACGTGTTTACCATTTTTAAAAGATAAAGTTAAATTGCATTTAAAGGTCGACGTATATTTCCGTAAAGATTTATACACGTATTCTCTGGATTGTTTTTTTTTTTTTAAAGATACGTCTTCGATAGAAAGTTCTGGCTGGTAAAATAAGAAGACTCACTCGACGTTGCGACCGGTGGATGTCGGATAATGCATCGACAAACGCAGACGATGATCGGGACTGATGATGTACAATGCGCGAACCGTCATTGCGTTTTCTGGGTCGTCTTTGCCCGCTTCGTCGATCATGTCCAATTTGACCGCCAAGGTGCGATCGTGGTCGGCGATGATTGGATAAGGGAAGGAGCCGGGAATGTCTCGGCAGTAAGATTTAATATCCTGTCGAGCAGGAAACACGGTGAATTATGTGATCTACGAGGGGAATCTGTCCACGAATTAAACGCGAAAATTAGCGTCCTTAAACCAATTGTCGCGTGGAAAGATTTTTTAATATTCATTGGGAGCAAGCTGGGAATATTTCGATGAATTTGTTGCCCGGAAAATATTTTTACCGGATCGTTTACGGTTTGCAAAAGGCAGAGCAAGGTCTCGATCGTCGTACAGGCGTTAAACGTAACCACGCGTTCCTATTTATCAACACTCGTAGCTTATGTACGGACGAATCGAACGATCTGTAACCGTCTTCGGACAGTTTAATTATTCCGCTCGTGCAGCCAGCGATTTCAAACAGGAAAATAACATGACTAACCGCTTTGTAAATCACCGGTGTTGCACGATTATCAACAAAGGAACGAGAATCGGTAGCTGAATTGAATTTAAATTCTCGTTAATGGATTTCTTCGACGCATTCGTTCGATATCGGAATGTGTGTTTGCGTTGTGTTTTCTATTTTCGTTGAGAATATTTTTGTCGCATACGTTCACCCAGTCTACGTGGTCCTGCAGCTTGTCCACAGAATGGGCCAAAAGTTTCGTGTTCCGGCGTTCGAAATGAGGCTGATGGACCGCCAAACGGCCCAGCTCTGTGGTGCAAACCGGCGTGAAATCGGCAGGGTGGGAGAACAACACCACCCATCTACAGAGAAAATAGATATTAATTTGTTAGAAGATTTAAATGAAAAATTGAAAGCGTTATTAACGTAACGATATTACGTTTCCACCGAAACCGTACACCTAAACCGTTGTTTTGTTACATTTAGTTTGACACAAGCACTGTTCGCGATAAAAGTACGACCACACCGTGTCGTAATGGTTTAATTGTAGCGTTCGCGGTTACTGCCAAGGGCAGGTAAACATAACGGTTACACGTTGGAAGCAAAAGAACGATACTCTACGGAATTAAGTTTATTCGTTGGGTCGATTTTCCAACGAACGAAAGAAAAATACATATCCATCCTCTCGATTTAATTAAAAGAAGCGTGGGATCAGGTATCGTCGATCAATTTTTTCCCTGCTTGGAATTCTCTAATTTCCGTTACGTAACTGCGTCGACCTTTCAAGCGGTATTGCGTCATGAAAATCAAATCTAAAACCAGAAACCGGTCTCGCTGCGTTCGATTCTAATTTATACGTTAACGATTACCTGGTCGAGAGGAAAGTCTTTCGAATTGCAAACTCGAATATCTTGAAAGGTAATCGTTGAGAAATTATTTTCCATGTTTCGAGCGACGCGTAGAAATAAATAAAGACTCACGAATTTCCTTGCCACTCGTAGAAGTCGATGGGACCCTTGGTGGAGTCCGCGCTAAAGTTGGGAACGATGGAATTGATCCTCATGATTGACTGCTCGCGTAGAAAATTACTCTGGTATTTGATGCGACCACTTTGGACGATGGAGCGCGACAAACTGATCCCGAGTTGCGTTCGAGTGATATCTGTAGGCCAGTGGTGTCCACGGGTGGGTACCTTCCGCGATTTTGCCTCCCTCTACCCACCATGTGTGCCAGTATCAAGTTCATATCGGTGTGCAACTATTTAGCAAGGCCGACGTATGGAAGACCACGCGAATATTATAGCGCGTCAAACACGCGCGATCTGCGTGATTGGACGCCTTCGAAACGCTTCAGACACATCTCCTAATCAGGAGATCAGAATTGCGCGACAAAACTTTGCTCTTGCTCGAACCATTCAATCGAGATCGTATCTCGATTGGCAACTTCCGTTTGGATTGTCGTCGAGATTAAGCGGTATTTAATTTAGAACGTTTAAAACGATCTATCTCTTTGTATTCTACTATCAGAGTTGCAGATTCGAATCTATTTACAAATCGATAGGAGCTTATTGCTAGATAATAAGTTTGTACAGATCGTTGAAACCATTGAATTTTATTTTGTCTCAGCGTTAAATAGAATTGGATAGATCGTGCAACGAGAAATTTTATCGACGCTCGGAGCATACGTGTATGGAACGTTCTAGGCCCCCCATTACATCGTGAAAATGTTTATTACTTAATGATAATGTCACGGTAAAATAATATCAACGATTTCTATAAATAAATTCACGGCGTGTCCGGAACGACGAAATTTTTAATCGAGTATGCAGACCGCGTACAAATATACATAATTGCATTGTGAATATATGCAAAGTGCGCGCTCGTGGAAAATATGCAAAACGCGCGTTGTTAAAACCCTTAAAAGACGAAACGAATTTCCGCCAGTGTACCATTATTGTAATATTATTCTATTAAAACGGTGCCATTGATGTCTGCAATTTGCTTACAACCCGTTCTCCGCCGTTTCGACTGTTATGGGAATGTATCTACTAACAACAGCGTGCAACGTATAAGGGGTGTTCGGCCATCCCTGGAAAAAATTTTAATGAGAGATTCTAGAGGCCAAAGTAAGACGAAAATGAAGAATACCAATTTGTCGATTGAAGTTTTGTTAAGAAAATTAACAAAATTATTGTTAAAAATTATTATTAAAATTTGTCCATCTACACGAATTTTTTTTTCGGGGGTATGTGTGTATTCACAAAAAATGATTGTAATTGACCCCTGCAACTAAAAATAATATTTTTAAAACGATTTAAAATTTTTTAATTTCATTGAAAAATTTCTCCACTTATTGAATTTTTTTCTCGAAACTGCGTAGGATTACGGGGATATGTCTACTAACGAAAAATGATTGTAATTGACCCCCGGAATCGAAAATAATTTTTTCAGAACGATTTGAGACACATGAAATTTCAGGGGAATCATTCATTCGTGGTCGGACATTATATTTTTGGTAAGAAATTTTTTTCTCGAAAGTTCGTAGAATTTCGGGGGTATGTCTATTCACCAAAAATGATTGTAATTGACTCCCTCAACCGAAAATAATTTTTCCGTGAATGATTTGATATTTTTTAATTTAATTTTTTAATAACTTTTTAACGAAGCTTCAATCAAGAAATTGGTATTCTTGATTTTCGTTTTATTTGGGCCTCTAGAATCTTCCATTGAAATTTTTCCCAGAGGTGGCCAAACATCCTGTATACGCGGTGTCGTTCGAAAATCAAAAACAGAATCAGTTTTTCAGCGTTGTATCGCGTTTGAGTCAGTCGTATTCGGTCTCTGGTCGATGTTCCGGCGTTTCGTAGCAGTGGAGGGCTTCCGACGATTATGGGAACGCAGCGGGAGTGGACGGTTGCGTATTCGGATTGTTTTTTGTTCGTTTTATCTGCAATATTTATCCGAGCGGACGTAGCGATTATTCTCGTGGCTGTTGCCAGTCGATCCAGCCAACAACGCGCGTGGCCGACGCAAACATCGATGATAATAATTATCGTGTCACGATGGATGACTTTCTCGTTCGGGCCGTTGCCGGACCCCGCAACCGTGGTGCTCGCGGTGTGTACAGAGATATCGGATCGTTTGTCTCGGTCTGTCTGCCGCTTCCGTCACTCCGTTCCGCGGGATCACCGCCAGAGAACCCACGTAGTACGTCGTTACTCGAGCGGATTCCTATCAGTGACATGCAAATCGATCTCCCCGCTCGACCTTTGCTACGAAACGGACGTATCGCTGGTAGAAGGCGGTGTATCTGCTAGCTACGACGTACATATTTACGTATCGGTATCGTTACCTTCGATCTGTACCTTTCCAACCAAGACCTCCACCCTTTCGACCCTTGTTACAGTCCCTGGAACATCTATCCCACCGATACGGTGGCTCAACGTCTTTCTGTCGGGTCCACGGTTTGACATATACAGTACAACTTGCCCAAAACATTCCCCATAACTTTTATTACACGTCTCAATATCTAGTGGATATCTTCATCCATTATTTCGAATCGTAATAAACAGAAATATTCGATAGTTCAATCGAGTCGTCGGTGCAAACTTGCTCAAACTGTGCTCCATAACTTTTATTCGATTTTTCCCTGTCTAGTGGATACCTTCATTCATGGTTTCGAATCGTAATAAACAGAAATATTCGATAGTTCGATGGTGTATTTTTTAACACGTTGACTGCCGTGGGGATCACTGGTGACCAATAGTAAAAATACATAATTAAAGTAAATATCGATACTAATAAATTGTTCAATAACACTATTATTACTATAATGGTTTGAGGAAATTAATGCCATATAGAACGTACAAAAATAATTTTATTAATACATGAAAAATATACATATTATCTATGCATATTGCGACGAGTTGCATTGAAAGAAAAGGTGAACGAAAAATGCATTAAGCACGATTATACAATTCACCTTATCCTGTAAATAATATTTCAAAATAATGCATCGCCTAATAAAAAATTCTTGTTTGCAGTCAACCTGTTAAAAATACGTTGCAAGTTTGGCACGTTTGGATAAATATTATAGATTTAACCACCGAAGGTTGGAATACCTTGCGTCTAAAATCCGCTAAAAGAATTCTGGGAACCTGCTAGAGGTCCGGGGGCAGCCGAAATCATATTCGAGTTCACGAATCGTCGAACCAGGGCCGTGAAAAGGACTGTCCCCTAGGACAATAAGACGTTCGTGTCTCTAACGTCTCCCCTCCCCGTTCCTCTCCGTGGCTCATCTTCCTTTTGAAAACCGGCCCACGGCCTCCGCTCGGGCTTTATTTGCCCGGTGGTCCTGCTCTTTTCTCGTCCCTCCTTCTCTTCTTCTGGTCCAGATGCTGCACGAAATCACTGAAGTGTTCGCCCGGGCCCCGCCGTGGCGCCGAAACGAGTTTTAAATTGCACCGGGCCCGGGCATTTGAATGCGAAAACACGCGAGGATGCAAACCGGGCCGCCTAAACGCACCTGATCGTCCACTCTAAGTCTTCTCCTCTGTCTTTGCCTTCCAGCGTGCTCCACGCTACATACACGGTGGTTCCAAGTTCCGAATTTTTTTCAAATTTCGCGGGGATCTTCCCTTCCCATCTCGCTAATTTCGCAAAATCATAATGCTCGTAGCCACCGAAGAATTTTAATCAAACACTGGTTCCTTCGAAAATGATTCTCTAGGCTGACCTACCGTTGACCTCGACTCGTTATGCTCGGGATTCAGGTGGCCTGTTCCCAGAATCATTTCCATCTTAGCAGTAACATAACGTTCCGGAGCTACTGAAACTTCAAACCAGTTCCGATTCGGACCAACAGTAGGTTTCCTCGGATTCTTCGAAAGAATTTTATAGCCGTAGCGCCATAGTCAACATAGGTCGGTTCCTAGAATCACTTTCGTCTTTGTAATTTCACGGCAACACAATGGTCCCGGGGGACTACTGAAAATTCATACCGGGGCCAGCGATAGTCACGGTGCTTAATTCGAGTCCTCGTTTGTCCTCGCTGAATTTACGCGGTGTATTCCTCGAATCATTTCCATTTATAGTGTCTCCGACAGTTGTTGACTCGAGTTGCTTCACGCTGAATTACATACACCGGTCGAAAAAGAGGAATACTCGATTATTAGCACGATATTAGCACAAACGTCGCGAGCACATCCAATGGTCAATTTATATTATTCAACACATCCAGTTGGTGAAACGAAGAAAGATATAGCTCTTTCCTTTACGTAGCGTTGCGGCTCAAACGCCATCGGACATTATCAAGAACAATGTTTTGACTGATGCTTATTGTTTTTAATTCGTGACGAGGTTTGCAAACTTCATCAAAACGTTTCACTAAATACATCGCTAACTTCAAACGATGCGTGACTGAACCTGTTGGAACATGTTTGAAGTCCCAAGTGCAGATGTTTACATTATCAGTTTGAGCGAAATCTAACCAGTGGATGTATATGTCGAACGTAGCATGATGACTGATCGATCAGAATGCTTCGGTCTGAATCTGTTTGATTGTGTTATAGATGAAACGTGTTTGAACAGATAATATATAATAAATTCACCTTAAATGGATATTGCAACGAGTAGATCGGTTCTACGGTCAGCTACGGGGAGGAGGGTACTCAAACGTTGTGAAATCGGGGCCCGAAAATAAAAGTGGCCGTCGTCGAATTTATCGTTGGCGAAAATCTACAGCTGCTTTGAGCGCGCGTCGGCCGTAAGTCGTCCCCGGGGTCTCCAACCTCCGCGGCGGTGCTTGCTCGTTGTAAATCAGCCGGAACGCCGTTGTCGTCGTCGGATTCCGCGAAATTTGCGAGCCCCGTCCGGCTTCCTACGATCCGGCGGGGCCTCATAGATCCGCCGCGGGGCCGGACTTAGATCGGAAATTATGCGACAGGTGGCCGGCCGCGCGATGCTTACAAGGTTACAGTCGCGGCTTAATCCGAGTTACGATCTTGCGCGATCTGACCCCCCGTTGGGCCTCATTCGACAATTTTTTACCGCGGATTTTGTTCTCCGGCGACTTTCGAGTCGGCTAAACTGTCGCGCGACTCCGCAGTCTCCGTTAAGGAGGGTCGACTCTGTCGAAAAGAGTCCAGAAAAAAACATCTAAATAATTACTGTGGCGGCT